ACTCCGCGGTCTATATGCCCCGACCGGCATTGAATTACACTCGCAACACCTAGTGCAACAGCTAGGATCGTTCATCAGTCTAACCCACCAGGCACAGACCGGTGGTACATAGTACGCGAAGCGCAAATGGCTCCATCTATCGTGCTGACTTCCCACTATGCCATTCAAATGGCTACTACGGTAGGAAGCGACCTGCTAAAATTTGCCAGGTACTTTGGTGCACGATTATCGCCTAGAATGGGAAAAAAGGTTTTTAAATAGCTGTTCGCCTCCTAGGCGATAATCGTGCACCAAAGTACCTGGCAAATTTTAGCAGGTCGCTTCCTACCGTAGTAGCCATTTGAATGGCATAGTGGGAAGTCAGCACGACAGATGGAGCCATTTGCGCTTCGCGTACTATAATTTATATGTCTAACTATAATTAATATAAAAACCTACACTTGATATATTGAAATTGTTATGTGTTTTTGTATTAATTATATATAGACATATTTTTAGTTTGTTCAATATTTTGGATAATTTTTTATTACTAGCTGCCTAGTGGCAGTGTAGTCGTATAATGCAATGCTAGTTGAGGCATATAGTCCATAGAGAAATTGTTTCCTGCATTGTCAGCAGTTAGGAGTCTTTGCTGTCCACTTAAATACCTATCTTTTGCATAGATTTCTGGTATCGAAGAACATTGTTTGACTTCATTTGAGAAGATTTAAAAAAAAAATTGAATTTGTTTGAATTAGTTTAATACATACCTTTAAAATAGACTATGCTCTAGCAGGATTTGAAATAAACACAATGAAATATATAGGATTTAATTCTTAAAGTCAGAATTAGATAACTTCGTTTGAATCAAAGAAACGCTAAAAATTATATGGATATACTTACAGTCTACATAAGACAAACATAGAAATCTTTCAAAACTGTATCTATTTTTTTCAATTAGCTATCAAATATATGTTTAGAATTCAAGTGTTGACCTCGATATTGACATAATTAAGTAACTGTAAATACCTAAGCATAATGTTATAATAAATTGAGCGTAATACTGTGTAATGCAAACATAATTCAATGTAATGTAAGTTTAATGTAAGTTAATGCAAAGTAGTACAAGTTAATGCAGCATAATGAAGGTTAATGCAGTATTATGCTATATAATACAATACAATGCAATTTAATTCTGCATAATGTGATGTAATACGAACAGAAATATATCAGTATTGCAACTAGTGGAAGACGCCACGGTTATATCTCGTTAGATGCTGATATTAGAGATAGGTAAGTTAGTCTAAATCGTAAAAAATATAATCTGGCGACAAATTTAGCAAAAAGTAAGTTTAAACTAGAATACCCCTACAAATTCAGCTGTCTGTAATTGATAGTGGAGATAAAAAAAGATATGAAACAAATTTTTAACTGGCTTTTAACTTTTTAAGGAAGCAAAATTGTACCGAAGTAAATAATTTTATTTTCTTTAAAGCAAATTACAATTAAGTATGGGCTGTTTGCAAGTTCATCGTTTTCTATATAATCAAAATTTTTACTATATATTAGATATTGATTAGTGAATTATGTAAAATATCAATAGCAGCAGTTTACTATTATTACTATTAAAAAATTATCAAAGTTTCTTCAGAGTAAGGTGAAGAAATTAATAAATATAACTTAGTACCAAAATGCTTACTTAAAAAATTTAGGCCCTCTCAATTGTGAATTAATTTTGAGGGATATACAATATATGGCATTACTATGCTATATTGCATCGGGCACTTCTGTAACTATATTCATTTCAAAGCTCTGTCATTAGACTTTACTTTTTATTGTGTAGCACAATTTCTGTTGCCCTGTGCCTACCTAGCTGTTTTGTAAATTTTTTTTGGTAAATTATTTTTTTTATGATATACAAGGGCAACAATAAATACTGTAGACAACTGGATGATAATATGGACATCGCATATTAATCACTTTTTTTAAAATTAACAGTAAGCACAAGAAAAACTAGACATTCCTAAAATAAAAAGAAACATAGAAATCTATAAATATTAGGTTCTTATACAGGGTGTAACTTTGAGTGGGGGTCGTATTTATACAGAGGCTTCCTTTGACGTTTAGAAACACGTATCAATAGTTTATTTTTCAAATTCCATCGTAAAATCTTGATTTTTGTTTAACCTTTTTTTAGTAATTTTCGTACCCCACTGCTGGAGAAGCTTGTGTAACATCAAATAACGGCACGCTTTAGTCGCAGCGCATGTACAATTCCATACCATCTGCCGTGAGTTACTTTTGTTGATTGGGTGTTCGGCACACAAGCAGTACTTAACAAGTAACCTAGCAAAAACTCGAGCAGTAATCAATAATAATAAATGAAATACACAAAAATAAAAAGCCTGTTGATGGCTTCCATCGATGAAAAACATTCAAATTCTCAGATAGATGTACTGTCTCCAAATGCGGAACAACAACTTCGCTTTATCACATTTTACCGGCACATTTATAGTAATAGTCATGTATTTGTAATACATGATTACAGTGGCGGCGTACACAAGTATTAAAGTGCATTTTAAACAACTAATTATTATAACTCTGACTATTTATTTGATAAAAAAAAGGAATTTCAGATTCGTATTCAGGGGAACACGTGATATTACCCCTAAAAAACTGACCCCCACTTAAAGTTACCATACAATATGCAACATTAAGCACCTTTATACTTTTCTGATTAGCGTCGTCTAGCGTTGCGCAGGAAAATAATATTTTTATTCCCATACAAATATAAATTTTATTAATAGTTCTTAAAAATCAGCAGTCGTCTCTTGAAATCGATTGGCATTTTCAACTTAGGTTATTATAAGCGAAATTTCGATAAAACGACGATTTTCTGTAACACTATAGCAGTTGCGCCCCCCTAGCGGTGAAAATATCCGTTGGGCTGAGCTGATCGCGGTCTTTTTTAGGAATTAACGCATTAGTGTAAGTTTATGTTGGAGCGGCACGCCAAGCCACGACAAAAGCTAGGCGCCTAGCCACGACTATTCAATGTATACATTCTTATGGAAATGTTCATAGTGGAGTACTAAAGCTAAGTAATAAACGCTTGGCTCCGCGCGCCGAGACAGGCGCTAGAGCAAAGAATCTAGCAAGGTATTATTTGAGCGCGGCGCGCTGATCGACGTACTGTTTTTGAGTAGAATAAAGATGTTTTTCTCTATTATTAGATAGATACATTCTTAATTCTAGGTAGAGATGATGAAACTCTCCAATTACTTTTCGTCCCCGGGTTTTTGGAATGTAAACAGTATTTCCTTTTTTGTATGCTATTAAGCAAACACCATTTATTAGCGGCCGATTCTAATACTATTTCATCATCAGATAAAGACGACGAGTCGGTGTATATATTGATATGATTTTCAGCTTAAAACGGGTCAAGACCTTAAAAAACTGAAGTTTATAGACCAGAAGAGTCCCTAGCGCTTCGCTCCAACATGTACGACTGTCGCATGCGGCTCTTTCAAGAGACAATTGCGGCTCTTCAAGTTCCTCTAAAAATTAAAAGTTAAAGCGGACAGACAAGCAGCACACGAGTACACATAAAGACGCGTATAAACTCCGTATCCGATTTAAAAAAATTCGTGGCTCTTTGAAATTCATGAAATTGATATTTCTATTGCAGATGACTCTTCCGGCTTAAAAGTTTGTCGACCCCTGGTCTAGGCCCTTAGCGCATAGCTCGGCTCGTGGCTTATGTCGTGGCTTGGCGTGCCGCTCCAACATAAACTTGCACTTAGGCTGTCGTGGTCCCGTCGTATCGCGGACCGTACTGGGCTGAGCTGATCGCGGTCTTTTATTACAAAATCAGTCGCATTTGACAATTGCACACAATCGCGTTCTCCTTTAAATAGTTGCAGTATTGTTTCAGTAGTGAAAATGAGTGCTATGGAAGAGGTGTTTTTATCGGCGGAAAAACATATTTAGGGGTGAAATAAACTCAAAATTCGCCCCCCAAAAAAATTTTTTTCTGAATATCATCAATATTTTCGAAAGAAGCAAAGTGGAAATTACTTATAAATAACAAATGTTTCACAAGTGATATAATTTTCAAACATTTTTTATATATACAAAATTTATATATGCTCAAAAAGAATTAAAAATATGATTTATGGAAACAAATTGACTATATTAAATTGACCTATTTCGGGGTTTTCGTTTAAATCTCTTTTTAGGGGGTGAACAACCCCCTAGTGTGAGAAATGTCTGTACGATTAGAATTAACATTATAAAATAAAGTGTTTACTTTTTCTTTAATCATACGAATAATTTTTTCTATTAGCGTAAAACGGATTTAAACGGATGCAAACTACCCCTCATGTTCACTCCTAGAAACAGTATCTCCGTGATATTTCGGGTTCTAATCAATATTTTGGAATGAAACAAAGTGGAAACTACTTATAAAAAACAAATGTTTCACAAGTGATTCCGTGATTGGGGGTTGCTGCCCTTATTATTTATTTCGGAAAAATGTATTTTTCAAACAAAATGGAAATTATTTCTATTAAACAGAACGAATGATTTACAAGCAATCTTGTCTGTAATTTGTACTTTTAGTGAAAATTTATGAAAATAAGAAATAAGTATAATTTTACCATCTACAAACCGGGGTATGCAATCCCTAACGTTCAATGGACTGTGAATCGTCCAATTTAGTAGAGGCCGTTTTTCAGAGGACAGTGTCAACTTGACTTCGTTTTTATTTGAATGCTCGTTATTTTAATATTTAAATCGTTGGGTATTATCAGTTTTTTTTAAATAGGTTTTATAATAGAGTAACTGAAATATGTGGATTTTCATTTTCATATCGATAACCAGTCCTGTGTGTATAGTAATACCTATTTGTTTGAATCAAAATTTTACTGTTTATTCAGCATCTAATTTTTTAGGAGAGCATTATTTGAAAATATTTGAATATTTGAAAATATTATTATTAAATAGTTAAGATAAAGATTTCTATGGAGGAGGTATTTTTATTGGCTCTTCTATTTAAAGAGGAAGAAAAGCGCCAAAGAAAAAAGCAAGCAAGATTTTGGATTTTGGAGCGATTTTTAGAGTACTTCTGTATGTCATCTGGAAAGTACAATGAGCTACTAGAGATTATTCATGAAGACATTCAGTTGCAAAATATAAGATTTAGACACTGCATACTACCTGTAGAAAGGCTGGCCGTTTGTCTAAGGTAATTTCTTTTAAATTTCGTGTGGTAAGTTGCCAATTTTAAACGATTCATGGTACGCGATCATCAAAAACATTTGCACTAGACATTCTCGAGCTTGATCGCATCGCGGTCTCCCGAGCAAGGGCGGCGCCAAGGGCGGGCAAGTTAATAAAATATTTTATTTACTTAAACTTTAATTTTGAAAATTAATACACTACTTTATTTTTTTTAAAAAACAATTGTAATAATAATAATAATAATAATAATAATAATAATAATAATAATAATAATAATAATAATAATAATAAATGTAAACAACTTTTATTTTACAAAATTTAATTATAAACAATATTTCTTAATAAACTGAAGTTATAACGTTAGCATCTACTTTCTTCGGCAGATCGAGTATGAGTGTACGGTATATCGTCCCGATGTTGATATCCCGCGCCCAATTCTGCAAGCTCAGCACTGGCCCTGGCCAAATGACATCATCGCTTACGCTGCTCACTCAGCGTCGGTCTAAGCCGGAACCCCAAAAGTTGATAACATTCGGCCTTTCCTGACACCTGGAGTGTCCCTACTCCAGCACTGAACCTACATAAGAAAAGCTATTAGTAGTGGGCGTAACGACTATTGTTTATTTGTGTTATAAATATCAGTACTTGTTTTGTGTTATCATGACTACCTAGTTACTTAAGAGCTACATTAGTAGTTTTTTTTATTATAACTACTATAAAGTAGCGGTGGGATACCACCAAAATAAGTGTTTTCTTTTAATTTTTTTTTTTGACTGGTGTCGGTGGCGACCAAAATAAAGAGGCGGTTGCGGAAACATGGCAGGCTTACGGATGAAAACGTTGATACTGGAGATTGCAGCGAGGAGCCTCCGGTCCGAGTGGTGCGCACTTTAGAGAGAGCAAAATAATTTGAGTTTGGTCGTTGAAGGCGAGTCAGGTACCCCAACAACCGATATTGATTTGCATTCTCTTTTAAATGAGGCAAGGGCAGAAGTCGAGGCGCTAAGAAGCCAACTTGTAGGTACACAAAGATGACCGATTGATACCTGAATTTGATCCCTTATAGTAGGGGAGCCCAAGAGGGGATTTTGGGAGTTACTCAAGCACAGCAGATTAACATATCTAAGTCCTCTATATAAGGCCGCGCGTGTAGGGCAGCCAATCAGAATAGTAAAAAAAAATCGATAGTTGGAAATACTCGAGCGCGTCAGATTAAGATATGATGGGTTAATTACATGCTGAAAAGTGTGCATTTCAATAATCTGATGATTTGAGCGTGACGTAAGGCAGTCGGAAGGTCACAAAGTTGCAAAAAAACGTCACCTCGGCATTCTCGAGCGCGGTCGATTTTTTTTTATTTTGAAGGACATAATTCAAGGATAACGGGAAAAATATCTGCCGATTTCCACAAGCCGAAGTAACAAAAATCGTTAATAAAGTTTAGCGGGTGCAGCTGCATGGAAATACATGTTGTTTTGAAACTCCGTCAGGAAACTCCGGGAGGTGATTCTGTGGATTAAAATAATAGCAGTATGTAATGAAAATTTTTTTCGAATTGTCAATTGTTTGCAAGTTACAGCTTGTCGAAGTTAATTTTTTTAATTTTTTTATTTAAATAACTTATTTAATTCATGTTCGATTAGTCTCTCATTTGGCACACCCACTAAGTAGATGAAGCTCTATTGGACCAGTCAAATAAAAGTTTCATTATGCGCCGCTAGAGGGCACTTTACCTAGAACTCAAAATTTGTTTGGTTCTTAACTTTTTTCTCTTGCTAGATATCACAAAAATTTAAACATTATTGAAAAGAGAAACAATATCAGAAAAAATATGTACTCTTTGTTCAAGCCGATAAATGTAACCGTTTACCAGGAAATCGCTATTAATGTGTTATTAAACATCAAATTTTTGATCATTGTTTCTGTAATTATGTACAGGGTGTCCCGAAATTAATGCAACAAAACTTGGTCATAGATTCTTAAGACAAATTTAGGGGACCCGTATTTTTTATTTTTGCCAATAAAACGATACAAAAACTAAAAATATCGTTTTTTCTTAACCTTGGCCATATATTTTTTTTACCTCTTATTTCTTTATCATCTGTAATAGTAGGGGAGCCCAGAGGGCTAAATGCGTCTTTACTCCAGAACTTTGAAGACCTATTGGATCGCGAAGATTATATGCTAAAAAAAGTTTATGTGATGTATACCTGTTTAGTGGTGGGGGAAGCGTGTATAAATTTTTAAAAATGTAAAAAAATAGTTACAAAGAAATCTTCAAGCGCGTCAGTGTTCGTTAGCGTGTACGTTCTACGAACTCCTGTTTACAGAGAGATATTAGTCTGATGAATCGCTAGTTGCAGGTAGCTGTATTACGAGGTAGAAATTGGGGTAAAAAAAAATCAGATTATTAAAGGGATTTTGTGTTCTGCATGTAATTAACTTATTTTCTTTAAATCTGATGTGCTCGAGTTTTTTGAGGATCGATTTTTTTTTACTAATCTGATCGACTGCCCTAGACGTACGTCACTATATTGAGGGACCCTATTTGGTAAAAGTACTTAACATAGTACAAAGATTCTCCCCTAATATTAAACAGCTCAGCTCAGGTCACATACAAAATCCCCGCTTGGGCTCCCCTACTATAATTTTATCGGAGAAAGAGATTACCGAAAGTATATATTATATGTGTTTATATGTATTATAATTAAAAGAAATAGATTTACGTGTGCAGAAAATAAAATAAAAAACTGTTTTTTACAAATTTCAACAAAATTTATTATTTGTTTTTATTTGCATGTTATTTCCCGTGCTTTTTATTTGTCACGTACAGTGATTTAAAAAAAAAATGTGAAAAAAAAATGTTTTTTTCAAACCGTCAGATTAAGAAAACCCCTCCAAATAATCGTCAGATTATAGATCAGCACGACCAGGGCATCAAGCTGAACCGTCTATATGAAAATCTGACGCGCTCGAGTATTTCAAAATGGCGATTTTTTTTTTGTATTTTCAAAAAGCTGCCACGAGTTTGCGTCACATCCGAATCGTCAGTCTTTTGAATGGGAGCTTCGTTCGGGTTCACTTAACAGCTCCTCTGAATATTTGACGCGCTCGAGAAAATTTTTTTTCCCCTCATTTTTAACCTTTCCATATGACCGCCCCCACCATCCAAATCGGCAGATTAACATATATCCATCATCGGAGACACGTAGAACATATACACTATCAATATCTGACGTGCCCGAGTATTCCCATGTGACTGTTTTTTTTACATTTTTGAAAGCCTGTAGACGCTTCTCCCACCGGTGACAGGGTATACATCATATAACCTTTTTTTCTTTCTACCATCTAATCTTCAAAATCCAATAGGTCCCCACGACGGTCGAGTAAATCCCTGTTTAGCATCGTGGGCTCCCCTACTATTAAGAAGCCAGCAACAAGTACGTCAATATGAATAATGAAGAAAAAAAATTAAGGTATTACACGAAAAATACTGTAATATTATTAATTATTGAAATGACGATATATGCAAAAAAATGTAAATTAAATAAAAACTAAATAAAATATATTTATTTTCTTGGGAATTGGGTTCTGGTGTGATAGTCGGTTAAAAAAAAGGATAAAAGAAACATCAGCTATTTCTTTCTTGACGTTTCGTTCCTGATCAGGAACTTTTTCAAAAGGCTTTTATTGTTAAAATTGTTATTGTCATATTTTATCCACATTTGATGACTGGGGCATAATTTTTTAAAAATTTATTCTAAGGATAATAATGGTTGTTTAGGTTTTATTTAATTAACAATAACAATTTTAACTATAAAAGCCTTTTGAAAAAGTTCCTGATCAGGAACGAAACGTCAAGAAAGAAATAGCTGCTGTTTCTTTTATCCTTTTTTTAACCGACTATCACACCAGAACCCAATTCCCAAGAAAATAAATATATTTTAATATTAGACAAAAGGTTCAAGAAGATTTCCACGTTAAATAAAAACTAAACATTTACGGGACTATTTTGCTTCTAAGGCGAAAATGACTATAATATTCGTGTTTAGCTACCCCAGATTAAGTACAAAAGAAATTTTGTACGTGGTTCAGAAGCCGAGATATCAAAGATTTTGCAAGCGCGAGCCATTTAGACTGCATGTCATCAGTGTTTAGAGCGACCGCGCGCCCCTTCCCCCTACTTCTCCGGCCGGTCCAACTGACGCACTCAGCGCTTGCACGCTTCAGTCCCAGTCAGGACAAAAGGAGGTCCCACAAAGCGCCTACACCGGCCCCATTTGCGGTTGGGGTAGACGACGGATGGGGCCCACCTACGAAGGCTGTCCAGGCCTACACGAGATGAGGCAGGATAAAGAGGGATAATCCCCCTCGATCCCAAATCATTGAGGCCAATTTCTNTTTGCGGTCGGGGTAGACGACGGATGGGGCCCACCTACGAAGGCTGTCCAGGCCTACACGAGATGAGGCAGGATAAAGAGGGATAATCCCCCTCGATCCCAAATCATTGAGGCCAATTTCTAGCCATGAATAATGGCGCGCGCGCACGCTTCAGTTTATTACTCAATTACTAATACTAAAAATCAAGTAAAGATATCCTACTATTTTTTTTGAAAATATAAGTATTCAATATTAACTTCCATCAAGCGCATCGCTGTAAAAAATGTTAATTGCGTCTTCAAAATTTTTTTTTAATAAAAAAATTAACTCGGCTCTAGAATGTCGTAGAAAAACATTTTTTTTTAATTCGTGAAAATATGTCAGCAGTTTCTTTCTTTAAGTCATTTTCATAAAATAAAAATTGAAATAGTTATTTGAAAAAAACATACCCAAAAAAAGTGCAACTTTTTCAGTCATTTTTTGATCCTTAAAACTAATAAAATCGTTAACATTTTTTAACAGCATGATAATATAACTCTTTATGAAGAAAATAAACCGAAAATCGTTTCTGTAGGGCTATCCGCTGAGAAGATCTAGCCAATTTTCGAGAGCGCCTTTTTTTCAAAAAATCGATATATCGAAAAATAATTAATATTTTTAAATTTTTCAAAAATGTACTTTTTTGGCTTGCCGCGGGCTATGCTTGCAGTAAATAACAAGTATGGGAACGTAAATGTAAACGAGTTATAAAATAAGAGAAAATAGAAGATTTTTAACGGTTTTTTCGATATATCTCGAAAAGTAAAGCAATCGATACTTACAAAAAAATCAGTCGATAGATCTTTTTAAAACCTACAACTTTCTCATTTAAAATTTTTCGATTGGTGCTATATTTTTTTAGTTACCTATTTTAGAAAAACCGTTTTTTGCAACTTTGCGATTTTTTTTAACCATGTTCGCCATTTTGGATCGAGTTTAAAGAACAAGAAACTCGATTTAAAATTTAATTTTCTATATGGTCATATTTTTTTGTCCAGGTAATAATTTCTGCAAATTTAACATTAATCCGTGACAGAATGCTTGGACTAATAATATTACAAGAATATTTATGTTTATGCTTAAAAGTAAGTGCAATTTGTAAGCACATTAACAAAATTATTTACACTCGTTTCCACACCACCTGTGAGGTAGAGTTCCTTACGCGTTTTCTATGTATTCTTGTAATATTATGGTTAGAAGTGCCTAGTTGTTACACCATTGGTTGTACCTTTAGAGCTCATATTTTAGGGAATGCAAGGCCTACTATCATAGATTATCCGTACCAAATTTTAATGAGATCGATTAGTGGATTCTTGAGATATAAACAAAAAATCAATTTTTTTTAACAACTTCGACACCCTGTATCTCTAAAGACCTATTTTTATAAGGCAAACACATATTAAAGAGCCCTCGAAGCTTCTTGCATAAAATTCGGACCACCATAGGGTGTTCCTAAATAAATGTCACAACGGAAAACTGTAAATTTCTCTTGAAAAAAGAAACATGTTTTTCCTCTTCCATTTTTCTCTCTTGGCTTTCGTTTTCGAGATACACGGTGTCAAAACTTTAATTTTTTTTTTAGTTTTTTTTGCCAATATTTTAGGAACCTTTGAACTACAGGACTGAGCTTTTGTACACATAACCACTATTAATAGCTACTTTTTCGCATCCTTCTCGAATTCATTGGATGTGCCAGTGGTGGATATTTTAAAGTATCGTCAGGGTTTTTCTCCCCTAACTTTTACGCCACTGAAAAAATTGACATTTGACAGCTGTAACGGGCACCTTGCTCTTATTCTTTTTAGTTAGGCAACCAATTATAATCTTGGCTTTAAGTTTTGATCTAGGGAGGTCGCCACATTCAGTGTGTTTAGACAGACGGTGTGTACCGTGTACCGTACCCTTGTTTCGGTTACGGTGTACGTGAGTGAACCGGAAAAGTGAAAATTAGACAAAGAAAATTGTTGGTGAAAACCGAGGGACTTCGGTGTGAGTGTGCTCCGCTTTGGCGGCGGTGGTGAATTGAGTAGCTATCAACAGCGACCACTCCCAAGGATTTTTCTCACAGAGTGTTGTAAAGTTAGTAGGCTACGGACG